TATTGATAACTTGTGTATTAGCATACGGTTTGGCCTCCTGGCAGCGTATGGGGGGAAATGTGGATTTTTAGGAAGGACCCTCTCAGGACGACACCCCCCTTGTAGGCCGTTTGTGTAGTAGTTTACAGTTTGGCCTCCTGGGAGTGTATAGGGGAAATTTGGACTTAAAGTGTGACCCTCCCGGGAAGATCTCCCCTTTGTATGACATGGCTGCCCAGAAGGCAGGCGGTATCTGTGACTGTGCGCCCGTGTGGGTTGAGGAGACTGACAAGTTGTATGATTTTTTGGAGATTTACCGATCTCGTCCCTCTCCCCGGGGGCAAGACTGGGCAAGAGACCACTGGTTTCATTTACAAAGTGTGATAGACCGAATGACCGTGCTGCAGAAGGAAGCTAAGGTTACGAAGGGGAAGGGCAAAGCTGTAATTTGCTCCGTGTTGGGAGCGTGTTTGGCAGCTGCGGTGGAGGAAAGGAAGCGGAGGCTTTGTCCAGCTGGGGCTGTGGTGGATTCTCTGACGGCAGCGGTAACAACGCTGCAGGAGCAGCTACCCGAAAACAAGAAGGTGCTGGAGGGGGAAAAGTGCCAGAACTCGATACTGAAAGAGGAGTTGAGCAACCAATTCCTTAAAGAGACAGATACTCTGGCAGAAGTGGAGGTAACACCCAAAGGGAAAGAAGGGGATACGTCATGTTTACCCTCAGGGAGACCTAAAGAGAGTGCGAGAGGCTGTGGAGAAACCCCCCCACGTGTGCCCCTTAGTTAAGACAGAATATGTGTATGAGGATGATGGTGACAATCGCCCCCAGGTTATTACTAAGGAAATTCCTTTCACTGTGACCGAAATAGCTAAGCTGCGAAAGGATTTTGCAAGGACAGCGTGAGAATCGGAGACCGAGTATGTTTGGAGGGTGTCCCTGTCAGGGGGAGATGGGATCTTGTCGGAGAAAGAGGCGGAAGGATACTGGGGCCCTGGTGTGGTTTTAACTACGGGTGACCATCGAGCCCCGTGGTCGTTAACACAGCGGGTTGCATATTGGGCAGGAGGGCTGAAGCCCTTGCAGAGGGGAGCCCCCTTAGCCATAACAGGCTCGACAGATCAGCTAGTAGAAAATATGCAGAAAGTGGCGTATCTGCAGATGATGTATGATCGGGAACTTAAACTCAACCTAAGCTCCCCAATGTTGTTGCTGGTAGATCCTGAACAAATGACACCCCTGATACAGGGACTTCCCCATTCCTTAAAACCCAGCGGGATTCAACTGCAGGGGAAAATTCAGAATCTACCCCGTGAGGAGAGAATTGCGGCTGCCCTGGAGAGAATGGTGACCCCTGACCATCGGTGGTCAGAAAGGAAGGTGTGGACCTGGGGGGAGATAGCGCAAGAGTTAATTAATTATGGAAGAAAGTATGGACCTGTTAGCCGGTCATCCCAGAAAGTTGATGCCAGAGCCGTGCGGACGGCAGAGCCAGGAAAGGGGAGACCGCTACTCCCTGAGAGGATCCCAGGTTTAAGGGGAAAGGAAAAGCCCCTCACCTGGCAGGGACTGTGGCAGTTGGGGCTGCAGAAGGGCGTTCCTCGGGAGCTGATGGATGGACTCCCGACAAAGAAATTAGAATTGCTTGTGCAGAGGTGGTCCGGGCAGGGAACTGCTCTTCAGCGGAGCGTTAATACCTCGTTAGTGGCAGGCATGGAGGAGGAGGAAAAACGGGACAAGATTGCGTCGGGAAACTAACTCCTTCTCCGCTCCCCCAGGGTGGATGTTTGTAAGACAACTCACCTGCAATGACAAAGGGGACTTATTGATTCCAGTGGTGGTGGGGCCAAAGAAAAAAACCCGTGACCTTTTTAATAGATACCAGAACCCAAATCACCTCACTAAGACGAATTGAGGCGGAACAATGCAGTATCTCCATCCCATCTAAACGCCTCATAGTTTTAAATGGCCTGGGTAAAACCCAAACAGTACCTATGACTCCGGTGACATTGTGGCTACCAGGAAAAGAAAATCCCATTAACACCATGGCAGCAGTGGGGCCCTTCCAAATGAACCTTTTAGGTATAGACGTCCTGAAGAGCAAACAGTGGCGGGATACCCAGGGGAATGTGTGGTCTTTTGGTGCCCCCCAAATTAGACAACTAGCCAGAACCCCCAGTGCAGAAGTGCGCCTGCTGCAAGCAGCGCCTCCCCTTCCCCCTTCCGCCTAACCAATGTGAGACCCTATCCATTGCCACTGGGAGCCAGGGAAGGCATTGCACCTGTATTAGAGGAGTTGAAAAAAGAGGGAGTCGTAGTCCCGGCACAGTCCCCCTTTAATTCCCCAGTATGGCCAATCCGAAAGCC